TTAATATTATTTTTTAATAAATGATAAAGAGAGGTGGCGTTTGTTTAAGAACAAACGCCACCTCTTTTACTAAAAATTAAAAAATAATTGGCTATAATATTTATTAATAATAAGCAAATATTTAGTTAATAACAAACAAATGCAACCTCTCTTACTAAAAATAAAAAATATTTGACTGTAATATTTATTAATAATGAGCAAATATTTAGTTAATAATATATATATATATATATATATGTATATAATTGAAGTACTCATAAAATACTATTAAAAATATTATTATAATTATTGTTATTAATAATTACTTATATTACTTAATAATTATAACCAAGTAAATAATAAATATTAGTAAAAATAATAATTAAAGATTGAATTAATCTTTATTTATTAATATTTAGTATATTTTTTTAATAAATAATGTAAAGAAGTGGCGTTTGTTGGAAGAATGAACGCCACTTCTCTAACTAAAAATTTAAAAATAATTAGCTAAAATTTTTTAAAAAAATTAGTAAATATTTAATTAATAATCAATATATGTATATAATTAAAACATTAATAAAATACTTATAAAGATAGTAATATAGATATTGCTTAATAATTATATTCAAACAAATGCTAAATAATAGTAAAAATAATAATTAAATATTAAATTAATATTTATTTATTAATATTTAATATATTATTTTTTTAATAAATGATATAGAGAGGTGGCGTTTGTTCACACCACCTCTGACTAAAAATTTAAAAATAATTGAATATAACATTTATTCAAAACAAATAAATATTTAGTTAATAATAGATATATGTATATAATTAAAATTCTAATAAAATAATTATAAAAATATTAGTATAATTATTGCTATTAACAGTTAGCTATATCACTTAATAATTATAATCAAACAAATATTAAATATTATTACAAGTAATAATTAAATATTAAATTAATCTTTATTTATTAATATTTATTATATTATTTTTTTAATAAATGTTGTATAGAGATGATGTTTGTTTATAGTATAAACACCACCTCTCTCCTTAACACAAAAAAAGAATTTATAACATTTACTAACAATAAATTAAAAAAATAATTGATTAATAAATAAGAGAAGTGATGTTTAAAAGGCCTACAAACGCCACCTCTTTCCTCAAATATAAAAATATTAAAATTAATTTTTAATATTATATAATAAATAATCTAAGTTTATTATAAAAATATTAAGAGCAAAAATATTTGTTTAATAGTTTAAAGATAGAGGTGGTGTTTTATTTTCAAACAAATGCCACCTATTTCAATAACGGTAAATAAAATATTATGATCGATTAAATATCAACAAAAATTATAACACAATAAAATTAATTTATTATTATGTAATAAAATGATCAATATTAGAATTTACATTATTTAAGAATATATGTATATTAATAGTGATAATTATTATATATTTTATTTAGTAATTTTTTTAAGATTGGTAGCATTTGAAGTTTTTAGAAATGCCACTTCTTTAATTTAGTTATTAACTTTCTTAATAAATCAGAGAGGTGACATTTTCATATAAAAGAAATGCCACCTATATTATTTTCAATTATTAAAAAATTGTTCATACAGATTATTTATATTTATTGTGTATTTATAAAAAAATAATTATATAATATTACAAAGCAAAATAATTACTTACAACGAAGTAAAGAGGTGGCATTTAAATACTAAAATGCCACCTAGTTGTTAATTAACATAAATCTATGACATTTCATTTTAAAAATGTCACCTGTAAATTTTACTATAATTATAAAATAAAAAAATAATTTAAAAGCTGTGACATATGATGAAACAAATGTCATCTTTTTTTTTTTTAATCTGATATTGATAGCATTTAATTTTTTATTGTTTTTTTGTAGTAGTGATGGCACATAATTTAAAAAGAAATTGGGAGCTCAATGTAAGTTCAAAGTGGAAGTAGTGGTCCAGTAGTTTTTTAAACTTCCTATTGGTATTTTGAAGGAGCATCTGAAACTTCCCATCAGGAACATTAAAGATGGCCATATTTTCTTTCTAAATTAAGGACCAAGGTAACCGGTGCTTCTCGAATGATCTAAGAAAAGGTAAGAACATGAAGATACATAGTTTGACAATTTTCCTTTCATTGTATTTATGACTTAAGTCGGAATCTAAACACCTTTTAATTACAAAAGAATATCATCAAATCACCCCTCCACGTCTCAAAGGGCTACACCTTGAGTAAGCTGCAACCTATGCATCACATAGAAAGCAAAGAAAATAACTATATTCTCAAATATTATTGCATTAAGCTTCAGCGCAAGGTCCTAAGAAAACTTCATAGAAATTAACAATTAACTTGCAAAATAACATAGAGAAAGACATTTGAAATCTTGTGATCTTCAACCCAGAAGAAAGCAGGCAAAACCACACTACCGCAGGTAAGAATCTGTAGTGAAGAATTTTAGAAATACGTACTATACCAGAATCTTTATATCCAAGGTTATAATTTAGAAACCTGGCCCTCTTCAAACACAATATCAAACACAAATCAGTACTAGCTAGCAATGGTTAATGAGATGCTGCGTGAGGCTGGGATGATATGACTAAGAAACAAAGAGCCAGAGCAGTGAAACCCACAAGAGCCATGGAGGTTAATTTGGCGGATGATGAGATGGGAAGTCAGGAGGAGGATTCCTGAATGCAAAAAACCAAAGGAAAAGGAGGATACTCACCGTCGCCTGAATACGATTGTAGTATACATGGAGATGAATAGCAACGACATAACTATCATGGTCGCATCCTCGTCGCTGACTCCTTACGGTCATGGCCATTGTCACATCGTTTTCCTTGGCTTGTTTCTCCATCATCACCGTGTTCTCCAGATCTCCCCACCATTTTCCCACTTCTACACAATGAACAAAGCAGGGGAGTCAAGAAGATGAATAGAAGAAAATGGACTGCACTGAAATAGGGTCACATATCTCACAAGTTGCGGACGGAATCCATGGAGTGCGTCGCCGGCTAGTCGAAAACAGTGGATCGATGATTCCCGTATTGTTGCGGTCATCAACAGAGAAGAAATTTGGTTGCGCCAAGGAGGAGGTTTGTGTGAGAGAAGGATGCGGAGGGAATTGGCTCCCCTGAACGAAGATGGGATGCAGACGGCGGAGCTGAAGGAGAGAGAATAAGGTCAGATGAGGGAGAGGTTGGTGAATAATCTGACAAAAACAATGAGAAAAAAGGAGGGGGGTGGGGAGAGGCGGAGTTTAAGAATAGTATCATGAGTGTAAAGCCAACATGAGCCATGCAGCGTGAACATAACGATGTTGCGTTTTGACATTCCCATCCACGCCTTCCTTGTTGGACTCCACCAAACACCTTTCCCTTTTACGAGAAGCACATGCTCACGTATACTCTCTCTGACTCCTCATACCAATCTCTTCGTCCCCCACTGTCATCCCCTCCCATCCTCTGATGCTTTAATGCAAGAGAAATAAACAAGCCGGAATGTGGGTCCTCTCATCCAATGATTTTAATTAAATGCAGCTGGGATGGTAGGGGCGAGTGGCGAGGTTAAGGGCACGTGCGAGGATGCGTCTCCCAAAGTCAGTGCTGACATCACTATTCCCCGCCTCGTCCCTCCCAGATTCGCTTCTCTCCTTTAGGTACTCCGTCTATTGCCCTTCCATGATACTGCCATAACAATATCTAAGCAGAGCCAGGCCTAAAAAAATTTTGTGATGGAGACAATATCTATATTTTAAAAATATAATTTTAAATACTTTTTCATTTAGAAATATAAGTTTTTTTGAGAGATTGAATATTAAAAAGTATAAAATATTTTTAATATTTTAAAAAATAATCATTGCATTTTTTTTAAAATGCCCTTAATGAATAAATAACTAATATTTTTTTAGTGTTAAATACTCTGTTAAATAAGGTTAAATAAAAAAAATATAATGTTAATTTGAAAATAAATAACTATTTTTTTGAGAGTAAGATTTAGTTAAAAATACTTTGTATTTTTTAACGAAGTGACAATAATTAAAATAATATAAAATAAATTATATAAGAAATTTAAAAATATATCATAACTAATTTAAATCATAAATTTCCTTTTATTATAAATAAAAAGGTAAACAATAGTTTTTAAATATCCATGCTTGATAGTTTTAAAAAAATGTGGGATAATTAATTTTTTATGAGGGCAATTACAATTTTAAAGAAGGGGCATCATAATTTTAACAAAAAAGTAAATGTACCTTTTGCAAACAATTAGCCCCTCTTTTTCCAACGTGGTTATGTCCTTAGATTTGTGTTATTCAAATTAAATTTAAACCATCTAAATTTAAATTTTTTTATTTTTATTTTATGCTTTTTAAAATAAAATTTGGACCAGAGACCGTATTTTAATGAGAGCGTTTCATTTATTCATTGTGATACGCTCTGCTCAATTCCTTTCTTTTACAAGGCATTTATTTATAAAACACAAGGCATTTATTTATAAAAGATTGAGCTAAACACCAAGTCAATATAAATTTTTGGATTTTGTCTGGGAGTGTGATATGATTAAGAATAATAAGCACAAGGTCAAAATCTTTTTTTCTTCCCCAATTACAACCGGTGTAAAACGTAACATTTTTTTTTTAAAAAAAAAGAGACACCTTTTGGATTGGAGGTTATTTAATCAAGTCCAATACAAAAAATCTCATTTTTTATCATTGCATATATTTTAATATATCTCATAATAAATAATAAGAAAAACATAATTTTAAAAACCCCTATATTTTGTTTGCGTTTTGCTACTAATCTTTGTACTTTTTATTTTTGGTGTTTTTGGCTCTTGTAATTTTGTTTCTCATTATTTTTGATTCCTCTAATATTCCTATACTTTGTTTACAGAAAGACCTAAAACAATGAAAAACAATAACACAAGGACCAAAAATATCAAAACAAAATTATAGAGACTAATAGCAAAACACAAAAAAAGTAGTGACCTCAAGTTACATTTTTCCTAAATAATAAATTACATAAATTCTGACAATTACGTAATTTTAATAACATTCAGAATACAATAAATTTTATAACTATACACAAAAAGAGTATGCATATAAACATAAAATTTTTCCTCTATTGAAACTCCAAATACACTAATTTTTAAATGGTAGAAGATAAAAACAAACATCAAATTGTAAGGTTCATAGCTCGTAGCGAAACTCAAAAACAATGCCATATGCTTTCCCCTTTTTGCATCAACTGTTGAAACTTTTTTTTTTTTTGCGGGTAAAACACTGTTGAAACTTGAAGGCGAGGGAGGGCTATGGTCACAAGATCATCATCACATTCCTGTAAAAGCATACAATTTTCAATAACATATTTGCAAGCTATAATTTTTAAATCATTCATATATAAAAGAAACTCATGATAATTTTTAAATCCATGCATATCATGCTATTCTGCAAAAAGAACAAGCACAAGCTACCACAAAATCACAAGTCACCTATTACTATAATCATTTTGGTCCAGCCACAAAATCAGTCCAATTAAATTTATCTTTCCACAAGCTACCACAAGATTCTAATTGCATCCATAGCCAAGGTTCGCTAAGTAAGTCTCTTATGGCTTCAACACATTGCTAACCAACAATGATGCCTCATCCTATTAGGTGGAAGGAAAGTAATGAGTCAAGTATTATTATCAACCATTGTAGGTACCTGTCAGAGGTAAAGCAGAATGGATATATGAAAGTCATATGCACATTCAAGAACTCCAAATCTCATCAGTAAATTCAAGCCCTTGAGTACTTGTTGCTTTATCAAGTTTCCTAACTGCTTTTCACTTTGAGATGATGCATATAAGCAGTCTCACCATATACTATATATGTTGGGATAGAAATCTTTTCCTTTATATTTACATTTAATAATTATTTATTATATAAATAAACTCGAGTCAATGTGATTCCGTACTAGTGATAAATGTGGATAAGAAATTCACCTATCAAGGGGACATTAACTGGATATTTTTTTCACTATCTGGATTATTCTATCATAATAATAAAGCAGTAAATGACACACTTCACAAGGTTTGAGAAAACCCCAGAAATTGGAAGGCAATAAACCAACCACACAATTTAGTCCCATGGCCCTACAAACCCATTAATAATAATTCAGAAATCTTTTTCTTCATATTTCAATCTCTCTTATTATAATGTATGAGTGGTGGGATTCTTTTGCTAGGCTGTAGAGGGGCAACATTAATAAAAGACAAGGTCTCCTCCACCGCACCACACACGCATCATCATAGATATCCCACTTTCAAAAATAATACATGAACAATAGGAATATATATTGTGAATCAGATTGTACCATAAAAAAATTATACTTATAAACATATATCAAAAATTAGAAACCATAAATTTATAAATATGCTTCACGGACAGATAACACGTATCAAACACTACTTGTACGAGTGTATAAAGCTATATAAAAGATATAAGATATTTCATCAATCTTGAAAGTTGTAACTGGGCTTATTTCCCCTGATATTTTGCTATTTTCATTATTTTCTCTTCTCCCACCCCCATTCTAAATTAGGAGATATCTATTATCTAAGATGGCTTTCTTATTAAAAAAGAAAAAAACTACATTCTCATATCCAATCAACAAGACAAGAGGAGGAAGCCAAGATCAGCATCGTCATTTTTTTAGTACAGATCATCAAAAAAAAAAAAAACGTTGTGGAAAACACAACTCTACAGATTTGAACACAAGAGAGAGTGGCAGATTCAGATTTCATTAGCAAAGATGCCTGGATGCATTAGACAAATTTCACAGACAAAACAAGTTGCAGTGATAGATAATAAATTCCATGGCATATTATTAATTAATAAAAAATAAAAAGAAAATAAACTCAAAGATAAGATTAAATTGACCTGGCCATATACTTGGCCTTCTCTGCATCCTCCCATGTTGCTGCACGTGTTTCAATGACACTTTTTGGTGCTGTTCAGCTGCTTTCGTTTTAAGTAAAGTGGAGCATCTTTGTCCTCCTTCTCTTTGCTAGCCCATGCCGCAATGTTCAAAGCATTAATAAATTGATAAAAGAAGATTGTATCTTAAGCCCATGCAGAACTTGATAAAAGAAGATTATTGAAACATTAGCATTTACTATAAGCATTCTACTGGACATACAGAGAGTACTTAAAGAAACCCCATACTCTGAACGCATAAACAGCGAGAAATCGAAATTGATCTTTCTGTCTAATCACTCAAGTAAAGCTGAAACCCCAACAACTTTCAGTCATCAGCCTTGAATTCTTATCCTCAATCCTCAATGTATCCCCAATCATTTGCTTTTCAAGGACAAAGATAATTTAGCTTAATAAGTCTAGCCTTTTACATAACATAATGCAAACACCTAGTGTTAGCTCAGCCAATTTTACTGTACAGGGGTAATGTATTCATGTAGCAAGATCTATAAAGAGATGCTAAATTTACGACTCCATGTTTCACTACAACTATAGGGTTAGTTTCAATCAAGCTTACAAAGCTACACCAGAACTTTACTATAGTGAAAATGTCATGCTTATTTGAGGTAGAATATACCATGGGCTGCAACTGTAATTAAAAGAATTACTACCAAATAGTCAAATACATTCTTGGATACATAGGGGCTACCTGCTTCAGTAAACAACTCAGCCATAACAGCATTCTGGCATGTAAACTCACCAAATAGAGGAATAGACAGGAAAGAAATAGAGTTAACATAATACTTAGCTTAGTTCTCAATCTCCATCAGCAAAAAAATGCACGCACATGTACACTTGACTTAAAACATTTTCTTTTATGCATACTTGCTTAAGATTGATGTATTAATCAGTGACTCATGAAATCATAAGGTCTTTAAGCGATTTTTATTGTTAGCAATACCTATTGGAAGGAAATAAAGGGCTTACAAGACGTTTATAACATTACTATGGGTAAGAACAAAGAGAAATATCTAATAAACTGAAGTACAGATTCAGTCAAGATTTTATACATAAGCATTTGAAATATCACATAACTTAAAAAGAAATTGGGAGCTCAACGTAAGTTCAAAGTGGATGTAGTGGTGCAGTAGTTTTTTCAAACTTCCTATTGGTAATTTGAAGGAGCATCTGAAGCTTCCCATCGGGAACATTAAAGATGGCCATATTTCTTTCTAATTGACCAAGGTAACATGTGCTTCTCAAATGATCTAAGAAAAGGTAAGGCCATGAAGATACATAGTTTGACAATTTTCCTTTCGTTGTATTTATGACTTAAGTCATAATTTAAATTGCATAGAAACTAACAATTAACTTGCAAAATAACATAAAGAAAAACATTTGAAAACTTGCGATCTTCAACCCAGAAGAAAGCTAGAAAAACCACAGTACCGCAGATAAGAATCTGTAGTGGAGAATTTAGAAATACGTACTTTACCAGAACCTTTATTTCCAAGGTTATAATTTAGAAACCTGGCCCTCTTCAAACACAATATCAAACACAAATCAGTACCAGCTATCAACGCTATGACTAAGAAACAAAGCGTCAGAGCAGTGAAACCCAGAAGAGCCATGGAGGTTAATTTGGCGTATGATGAGATGGGAAGTCAGGAGGAGGATTCCTGAATGCAAAAATCCAAAGGAAAGGAGGATACTCACCGTCGCCTGAATTCAATTGTAGCAGATATGGATATGAATAGCAACGACATCACCATCACCGTCGCATCCTCGTTGCTGACTCCCTACGGTCATGGCCGTTGCCACGTCGTCGTCGTTGGCTTGCTTCTACGTCATCACCGTGTTATCCAAATCTCCCCCGCCATTTTCACACTTCTAGACAATGAACAAAACAGGGGAGTCAAGAAGATGAGTAGAAGAAAATGGACTGAACTGAAACAGGGCCGCATACCTCGCCAGCTGCGAACGGAATCCATGGCGTTCGTCGCCGGCTAGTCGAAAACAGTGGATCGATGAGTCCCGTATAGCTGCGGTCATCGACAGAGAAGAAATTTGGTTGTGCCAAGGAGGAGGTTTGTGTGAGAGAAGGATGAGGAGGGAATTGGCTCCGATGAACGAAGATGGGATGCAGACGGCGGAGCTGAAGGAGAGAGAATAAGGTAAGATGAGAGAGATTGGGGCCAACATGAGCCATGGAGGGTGAAGCTGGCGGAGGTTTTGCTTTACAGGATATATTGATGGGAAAATTTCAGTCAGAGACCCTCAACAGAACTGAATCAAAAGGAGAATTTCAAAATTTTTAAAACTTCACTAAAGAACTCATTCGGAATTTTCTTGAATTTATGATGAAAATAGTAGATTATTTTCATTTAAATGAATAATATAAATAATTTATTTATTTTCATAATGTATGTTATTCATTTATTTATAGAATGTTATTTATTTTTTTATTTCACTTATTTATAAACCTAGTTTCACTTAATTTCATTCTGTATTAGTTTTATGATAAGATGACTTGTTCATTCGTATACTATATGTTATTCATTTATTTACCAAATGTTATTCATTTCTTTACTTTACTTGTTTATGGTTCTTAAAATAAATCAAGTGAAAATAAGCTTAAAAACAAGTAAAGTAGGTTAAGATTTCGTTACATGTACAAATTCATGTATTACCCTTCCTCTTTTTATAATTAATTTCTATCTCTTCTCTTTTCAATATATTCAATGATGAGTATTTTTAAAAATTTATGTTTTCATTTTAAAAAAAATAAGGTTGTTAAATGTATTTAATAAGGTTCATTGGTATGTGAAATTTTGTCTAAAAGTATCATATAATTTGAGATGGAGAGAATAAATATTAAAAATTTTAAAAATATAATTTTAAATACTCCTTCCCTTTAAAAATATAAAATATTTTTTGAGAGATTGAATATTAAAAACATAAAATATTTTTAGTGTTTCAAAGTATAATTATTTGATTTTTTTAAAATGTCTCAAATGAATAATAATTTTATATTTATTTTAAAGTGAAATGTTTTATTAAACAAGGGTAGATAGAAAAAAGATGGAGTTAATTTAAAGATAAATAATTATTTTATTGGGGTGAGATTCATTAAAAATATCTTATATTTTTAATGTTGGGAGTAATAATTAAAATAATATATAATAAATTATATGAGAATTTTAAAATATATCTTAATTAATTTAAATCATAAATTTATTTTTTTATGAATAAAAGGGTAAAAGATATTTTAAATATTTATGCTTGATAGTTTTAAAAAGAATGTTAGGCAATTGATTTTTTACGAGGGCAATTTCAATTTGGAAGAAGGAGCATCATAATTTTAACAAAAACATGAATGCAATTTTTGCAAATAATTGCCCCATCTTTCTCTAACGTGGTTATGTTCTTAGATATGAGTTACTTACTCCATTTAAAAATATAAAATATATTTAATTTTTTAAGATATAATTATTATCTTTTTTTAAAATACTTTATAATGACTTCACATTTATTATAAGATGTTTAATAGAGATAAATATAAAAAGATAGGGTTAGTTTGAAAATAAGTAACTATTTTATTAAAAAATTAAATTTAATTAATAATATTTTATATTTTTAAATGGAGGGAGTATTCAAATAAAATTTAAACGATTTAAATTTAAAATTTTTTATTTTTATTTTATACTTTTTAAAATAAAATTTGGACCAGAGACAGTATTTTAATGAGAGAGAGCACTTTTATTTATTCATTGTCATCGACGGCGATACACTCTGTTCAGTTCCCTTCTTTCACAAGGCCTTTATTTATGAAAGTTTGTGCTAAACACCAAGTTGCAATGTAAATTTTTGGATTTTGCATGGGAGAGTGAGATAATTAAAAATAGTAGTATAAGTCCAAGGTTAAAATCCTTTTTTCTTCCCTAATTAAGGGGGAAAAAATAGTGTCATGAGCATGAAAACTCTTGTACTCACTTTATTTAAAAATATAAAATATTTTTAAAAGTTAGATGTTAAAAATATAAGATATTTTTAATCTTTCAAAATATAATTATTATTTTTTTAAAAGTACCTCTATTGATAATAATTTTATATTTATTATAAAATATTTAATAAAAATAAATATAAAAATATAAAATTAATTTAAAAAAAAAATTATTTTATTAGGGGGTGAGATTTAATTAAAAATCTTTCTTGTGTATTAGTCTCCCATGTGTAAGCTTTTTTCTTCCGAAAATTCCAACGTTTCAAACTTAATGATGATGATGATGATCTGTTCTTTAGATCATGATCTGTTCTATTGTCGTCATTGGCGTTCAAATAAAGCCTTATAGAGGTTTGATCTCACTTTGCCAGGATGGCCTTGATCAGCAAACTTCCATTTACATTGGGCAAAAGGGGAGAAATGTAACTTCCTCTGCTAACATGGTTTAGTTTGGTAAGAATTTTTTTTTTTATTGTCTATAGTTATTTGTATTACTATTACTATTACTACTTAGATTTATCTACGAATTAAAAGAAACTGTGCATTTTTCTTGCCTTTAAATAGTAACATATTTAAAGAAACAAAACAATTAAATTACAGCATAGATCATAAAGAATTTCCACTACATGTATTTAGACAAGATCATATATATATATATATATATATCGTTTTACATACATCAAAATATAGCTGGTTTGCATGTGAGAGAAGAGGACTTTGTACTTTACTTCACCAAAAATATGCCAAAGTAACCCTTAATATAATACGTAAAAAAGGGTTCCACATATACACATGCACATTCCTAACTTTTTATGATATCTAAATATGCCCATTGGGCATGTTAGGGGGTGGAGGCATCATCAGGATTAGGGCTAACTACATATAGTAAGGTGTTGGTGGCCAGTGGTGGCATGAAACGAGGTGATAGCTGCATGAATGATGGTGGTGGCTACATAAAAAGTTGTAAAAGTCTGTTCTAAACTTGGAAATACTAGTTTGTGATTTTTCAATTAGATATGATATGATGTAAATTTAACTGCTTGGAATCTGCATATGTCTTGTGAGAGCATGGTCAATTAATATGTGGTTTTTTAATAAACATGATCAATTTGTGAGAGGGTGGGAGTTTCACTCTAAGGGAGGAGAATTTTATAAATCTATATGGTATTTACTGGTATCTTGGGTGGCCCCAATGCTCAGTCATTATTGTTTGAAAGTCCTAGTATTACCCTTATGGTAGATTAGGCATACGACACACTGAGTATTTGTAAAAGGGAGAATTGTTATTCAAGAATGGATGAAGATGGTTTTGGTCGGGTTGCTTACCTTAATTAGTGGGCTTAAGCTAGTCCAATCATATAGGCTTGGTTTCATTCAATTAATAGCCCACAGATTTAGTTGGAGGTAACATGAAGGATACAAGGTGATTGTGAGAGATCATGCGTTATCTGGATGTGCAATATGTTGTCATACTCTTTAATTGATTACTTGTGTTATGCCCACTTTACATGCTCATTTACTTTCCTAGTTGGCATGTAGATAGATTAGATTATTTGGTTATTGAGACATTATTCTTACTTCTATAGTTACAATTTTATAGGTGAAGGCTCCATTGGGAGCAAAAGGAAGGAAGAAGCGGCCAATGAATAGGACAGTTATTAATTGTATTCCACTTTTCTTTTAATTATATGTAATGAATATATATATTCGTCATTGCCAACTTACGACATGCATTATTTTGGCTGTACTTACATGAAGATTATGATATTCTTTTGGTGTATTTCAGTCTAGGATAATGTGTATGAATTGATTGTATGATGAGAGATCGAAATGCTAATGCAAGTATATGCTTGTTTTGGCTAGAATGTTGCGATTGTTCATTGTGGTATATTTTATGAATTATGATTTTATGCCCCATTATAATCATTAAATGGGGTTTGGTGGCCAAAATGTGATTAGTATGTTGATTTGATTGTATGATTTCTTTATTAGGTGTATTTTAGTACATTTGAATTGGTATAAGAGGTTTAAGGGCTTTTGGCACTTGTTGGGAAAGATTGGACACCTTTGGAATTGCTTTAAAAAGGAAAAGTAGTTGTTTTATACCCCAGCTGTCCAACTCTTAATCAGTGTAGTATTTTCTTGTGAAAATAGTGCCATTAGCTAGGTGGCTTAGTTAGCTACATGTGGATGCTTGAATGCTCAAATCGAAGGTTAGATGGTGAAATGGCTCACTCCTAAAATTTGTCCCTTGGTGTTATCACATATTATGCTTGTCGCAGCAAGAAGTGTGTGTCCTCATGTTGATCAAGTCATGAAGGTTAGCCACACCAACCTGTGCATTGGCCATGGCATGCACCAACTGTGTTATTTGTCGCAGTGAATGATGTAGCTTTGCCCATTTTGTCCTTGTTGTGCCATTTATTGACTGTTTTTCTTGATTGCCAAGCTTTCACAACTTCTTATTTAATATTGTAAAAACATGTTTGAGCTCAAATGCTTTTAAAAAGGGTATTCCCTAGAATCCCAATCTTTAAACTATTTTTTCTTAATTTTAAATTCTAACCATTTTCTATCATAGTAACTTAATATAAGGATTTATTTAATCATAATTACCATGTTAGAGTATTTTGTGGTTTGTTTTGATAATGCCAAGACAAACATTATAAGGGTAGTACTATTTGGTTTGGAGTAGATGGTAGCAAAGTATCCTAAATAGTCTCAGAGTGAGTGCGAGTATTCACTATCACTTGGGCTAGTCCATAATCTAGAACTATGATTCCTGTCCAGTCAATCTCCATGACTATCCCCTCTGTTGGCATCTAAACACATTATGAAAATAAACATTAAAAATTCCCAGGAAGATCTTATATTTTGAACTAATAATGGCCTAGCTGCTTAAGTACGGAAAACTCTATTTTTTAATACAAAAATTGAATAATTGAGTGCATAATAAACAACAGTATGAATAAGTAATGACATCAGCCTATAATACTAAAACTAATAAACATTTCCATATTAAACTTTTTTTTATAATAAACCATACTTAAGTGTCCCCTAGGGTACATCCACAAAAATTATTTCTTTTACCGAATTTTCTTTTTCCTGTTTAGGAATTCCATTGAGTTATCTTGAATGTTCTTCCACAAAAGGAATTCCTTTGAAAAAATAGGCTCCCCTTTCTAATAGGGGCATAGAAGCGGAATCATGTTATTTTAGGGATAGAA